AGTATGAGGCCCTCAGTTTATCTGCTCCTCACTTGTCTGGACCTACCACCCTCCCGTCAGACTGACAGCCACCTGCTCCCTTCTTGGGGTCCCTAACCCCTTGGTGCCGGGACAGGAATAGGCCACGGAGGCAGGAGGGCTGGCTGGGCCTGGCTTCTGGACAGTGTGGGCTGTCGTGGTCATGAGGATGTTGTGATGACAGCCCCATGGTGTTCCCTGTGACCGCAGGCGAGTAGCTGGGCCCCTTGCTGCCCACTGCGGGCACCAGCTCCCAGAATCACAGCCAGGAGCCTTGGTCCGTACCCTGCACTTACAGAGGAGGAGACGGGGGCCCAGGGCAGTCAGGTGACTTGTCCAGTGTCACACAGCAACTTGGTGGCCCAGCTTCCCAGACAGGCCCATCTGATGGTGGCTGCCTACTCTGGACCATCAGGGGTTCCCTGTCCCTCCTGAATTTGGTGCCGGGTGGGCCTCCTCTCTTTTTCTCTGCCCTGCTCACATCCCAGACAGTCTGATGCCCTTGGGAAGTCCCCCTTGGCATTCCAGTGACAGCACCGGCAGGAATAGTGGGATGATCCCCGCTCAGTCCCACCGGCACTGGGACGTCCCGCTTGAAGCTGACCTAAGCCTACCGCCTGCGTCTGCAGTAGTCGCAGCCAAACAGGTTCCGTGGGGATGGAAGTTAAGAGGGTTTCTGTCGTACTTGTGTGTGTGTGTGAGAGGGTTGTTGGAGGGGAGGTATCCGCTCGCCCCACCTTTGCTCCGTTTTGACAAGCAGGAGCCGTGTTTACACTGAGGGTGGGGTGCGAGGAGAGAAGTGAGGCTCCTTCCTCCACCCATGAGCAGCAGAAAACCCTTCACGCCAGGCAGTCCTTCCCGTAGTCTGACCCCAACGCCCTATGTGCAGCTCTAGCCTCTGGAGAGGGGATGCGTTTGGCCAGCCAGTGCAGCCAGAGGGCATTTTGGCTGTGGGGAATGGGGGATGGGAGCAGCCCCCACCCCTGCTGCCCCTGGGGGAGCTGCCTGTTGTCTCAGTGGTTGGGGATGGAACGGAACCCCCTCCCAGTACCTTCCCACAGACAGGCTCCTCCCTCTCCGCACAAAGGCCTAGGGAGTTGCCAGGTTAATTGTCACCATCCTCCCAGGCTGCTGAGCACTCACCCCTCCTTCCCCTTCCTCCCCATCTGGCTGACCCCCCTGCTCTTAGATCACAGGGTGGCAGTTCTAGGAGGGGCCTCAGAGAGCAAACCTGCCTCCCATTGTACACATGAGGAAACTGAGCAGCCCAGGTCCCCAGCCCATGGGCTCCAGGCAGGTGAGCCGACAGGGCGGTATCCTTGGGCATGCAGGTCCTATTCCTCAGGTGAGGGGTTTGTCAGATCCCCTGCCTTCAGCCAGAGGTTGGCTTTGCCCAGGGAGCCCGTGGGCCTCTTGGTCAGGAAGGGCTGGTATGTGCCTTCCTGCGTGCAGGCAGGGCATGGCTCCGGGGACTTGCAGAGGTCACACAGGCCTAGGGGAAGACATGGTGCCACCCCCTGTCTCCAGGCATGTCACCACCCCTCTAAGTTCCCCACTCAGGCTGACTGCTGGCCCCTTTCTCCTGCCCCATCTCCCTCCCCTCTGTGGTCTGCATGTGAAGGTGAGCAGGCCCACCAGCGGCCTCTGCGGGCTGGTGACATGGCCCTCCCTGCCTCCCTCAGCCTCCTCTCCTGCTGCTGCTCCTGCTCACGCCCTCCTCCCATGGCTGCCGCTGGACCAGCCTTCCCACTGGCATGCTCTCAGGGCCTCCCTCAGAGCAGGAGGCACGGGAACTACACAGGGGGCAAGTGACTTGTCCAGGAGGCACAGCCTGCGAGTGGAGGAACCAACACTGCTCCAGGGCCTCTTGCCAACTCCTGGTGGTCTTCCCCAATAGCCTCCCCTTTACCCTTCCTTCTCCTTCTCCACGAGCAAGGTCCTCATGGCCTTTACAGGAGATAGAGAGGGACTTGAGCTGATAGATCTTTCCAATGGAATTGTGAGTCGGGGCCAGAGGGCTGGACAGGAAGGTGGAACTCTTGGGAGATCATCCCCACTGGCCATCTACTTTGGAGTAGGACTGCAGGCCATGCCTTCACCAGCCATTCCTATGAGGGGGCATCCTCTTGGCCAGGGGTCCTCAAACTACGGCCCATGGGCCACATGCAAATACAAATATTGTATTTGTTCCTGTTTTGTTTTTTCACTTCAAAATAAGATATGTGCAGTGCGCATAGGAATTTGTTCATAGTTTTTTATTAAACTATAGTCGGGCCCTCCAATGGTCTGAGGGACAGTGAACTGGCCCCCTGTTTAAAAAGTTTGAGGACCCCTGCTCTTGGCCATACTCAGAGCGCCTCCCTAGCAGTGAACTGGTGTGTGTGTGTGTGTGTGTGTGTATGTGTGTATGTATGTGTGTGTATGTGTGTATGTATGTATGTTCGTATATATGTGTATGTGTGTGTATGTGTGCACGCACGTGTGTGTGTGTGTGTGTGTGTGACCCCAGGCCACACAGCACGTTATTCCCAGACATCCCTCAGAGGCCAGAACCTCCTCACAGGCTCCCTGATTTCTCTCCGTGCCGCAGAGGGACAGAGGGGATGTGAAGCCAGAGGGCCCTCGCCTGTCCCTTCTCTTTGCCTAGAGCCCCCACCCCTACACTGGTTATGGCATCTCGCCCCCAGCCCACACATCCCTTTCAAGCCCCATGCTGCACTCCTACCCACCCCCTCTTCTCAGGCTCCTGCCTGGAAGGGGCTAATGGGCGGGGCCCATGATGGTGTTTCTAATAGAACAAACAGCACACCTGGGGCATGGTAAGTGCTTTATGCATTTTTTTCCAAAATGATCCCATTTGATTATGACAAGCCCATTACACTGATGTGTACTGAGGCACAGGGAGGTTAAAGAATTTTCCTGGTCAGAGGTGGAGCCGGGATTCAAACCCAGTAATTTGGCTCCAGATTGCACACGCTTAACTGCTACCTGCGTCCATTCAGGCCCTCGTGGCCTTTACAAGGAGATAGAGAGGGACTTGGGCTAACAGATCTCCTCAGAACGGGTGGGTCAGCTGAGACTCTTCAGGCAGAGCCCCAGCCACCAGGCCCCCGGAGGCCGGCACCCAGGGCTCCCTGCGTCCACCCTGAGGAGCACCTGTCTCAAGGTCCAAGCTTGAGGGTCGGGAGGCTCCAGTCCTGCTAAAGACCTTCGAGGGCATTGCCTTGGCTCCTGGGCACAGGACCCCGACCCCTCAGGCCCCTCCCTGTACCTGCTCACCCTCTTGTCACCCCCCCTCACCCCCCCACGGCAGAGGCACAGAGTAATATCAGCTCTGGAGTTCAGGGAACAAGCCGCCCATCTGAGCCAAATTACATAGCTCATGAAGCATTCCTTTTAAGGGATTAATCTGGGTTAGGAGAGGAGGTGGCTCTGCAGGGACCTGCCTCCCCAGGGCAGCAGGCTAGTCTACTCCTAGGCCAACAGCCCTCAGTGCAGGGCGCTGCAGCCGGCCAGGGCTCCCCACCCCCACCCAGGCACTCCAGGTATGGATGCAGGAATGCTGGTCCGGCACGTGAACGGGAGAAAGAAATGGTTCCCATCTCAGAGGCTACTGGCTTTGTGTCTCACAGACCCGAGTTCAAGTCCAGCCTGTAGATTTGCTGGTTGTGTGACTTGGGCAAGGCGCGCAGGCTCAGGACAGGCAGTTTCCTCGTGTGCACAGCGAGGGAACCAGGCCTGGGGGTGTTGTGTGTGGGCTAAACGACACGCATCTGCTAAGTTCCCACAGAGAGCCAGGCACAAGCGATGCTCTAAATGCGCTGCTCTCTTCCCTGGGCCCCTCTCTGGGAGCACCCGCCTCCTGGGGACACGAGCAACAGCAGAGGAGCCCAGAGGCAGGGAGAGCAAGGAGCAGGCGAGAACGAGTCAGGGCAGAGGGGTGGCTCTGGTCTCCTGGTGGGGGCGGCAAGAAGGTGGAGTTTTCCTCATCGGTAAAATGGGCATAACATGACTCCTTTCCTAAGGTTGTTGAAGGAAAGAGGGATAAACATGGAAGTTCGCAGCACAGTGCCCGGCACGTAATAAGCAATTAAGCAACAGCAGCTCTTACTGTTGTGACTATTACTCTTGGGCAGGGCCAGAGGGAGCAGAGCTGAGGGCTGGTCAGGAGAGGTTTCTGGAAGGAGGCGAGGGAGGAGCAGGTTGGGGAAGTGGACAGGGCTTCCTCAAAGCTCCTGAAGCCCTTGCCCTGGGGCAGAGGTGACAGGAGCGCCCAGACCAGCATGCTGCCATGGCATCGGCTCTAGGAAGTCAGGATTCCGGGAACTCAGTCCGTCTGCTCAGGTGGGTGCCTGGCTGGCTGCCTGTCTCTGACTCGAGCATCCATCCCCTGCATTCCTATCCCTTGACTCCTCTGCTGCACCCCACTCAGCGGCCTCCTTCCTTCCGGAACCCCACACGCCTCCTAGGCTCCGGGGTGCTCCTGACTCCAGGAAGCTGAGCAGAGCCCGAGGGCTGGGCAGGAGGCTGGACCCTGGGGAGGTCATCTCCACTGTCCCTCTGCTCTGGCGTAGGACCGCAGACCATGCCTTCATCTATTCCCATGAGAGGGCATTCGCTTGGCCATACTCAGAGCTCCTCCCTAGCCCCTGCCTGGGGGGAAGGTGACCCCAGGCCACACAGCACATTATTCCCCAGACCTCTCTCAGAGGCCCTCCTGGGGTCTCTTTCTCCCCCACACCAGGATGCCTCGAGGACTTCCCTCCACACCTCTCTGCTCAGAGCTTGCGGAGCTAGCAACGCCGGCTCCCCATTGGCTGGGGGCAGGGGTGGGGCATGATGCTCGAGGAATAAAGAATTCAGCCACCTGCCAGTCCTTACCTCTCTGGACCCTCTTCCCACGTTCACTTACCTTGCCAATCAGGGAGGCAAATTTATCATTGAGAACCTTCATCTCCTCCTTTTCTTGGTTCTTCTGCTGCTGGATGGCCGGGTCCACCTTGAAGTCCAGGGGCACCAGCAGGCTGGGGTTTACTGTCACCTTGGGGATGGTGCCAGCTGACCAGCAGCCAGTGAGGCTGCGAGAGCTGAAGCCCGGCCTGGGGGCTTCGCAGCCGCCCCATTCCGAGGTCCCAGGCCGGGGGCCGCCCGCTGGAGTCACCTCACAGCTGCTCAGGCTGCTGAAGCCAACGACGCAGGAGCGGCAGGCCAGCCCGGCCCCGGGCCTGGAGCGGGGCGGGTGCAGGGATGAGCGAGGGAACCTCTGTGGGGTGGCGTTGGCAGCTGGCTCCCGTCGCAGGCCGGGCAGGCTGGGGACTGAGGAGCAAACACCTGTCGTACAGTGCTCATTAGCTGCAGGAGGGCGGGCACCTCCCAGCCCGACCAACCTGTTAGATGGTTACATGATGTGGTGCTCCGGCCCCTCCCCCCGCACCACTCCTCCAGGCCCGGGATCTGCCTTGCTGAGGGGGCAGGTCATAGCCCCCAACCCAGCAGGGCCTGGCTCCAGGGAGGGGGGCAAGTCTGAGCTTGCTGGGTAGGGGCGGGAGGCGGCAAGAGGAAGGGGGCGATTCAGCAAGGAAGGAGAGGAGAGAGAGAGTGTGCGCCTGCCTCTCACCGCAGACCTCACTGCATACCTGAAGGCTGACGTATCCAGGCCCACATACTTCTGGAAAGGATGAGGCAAGCGCAGGCCCTGGGCTCCCTCCCGAGTACAGGGCATCTCCCTGAGTGTAGGGCTGCCATGCTGGGCGCCGTGCCAGCCTAGCCTTGGAAAAACAACACCTTTATTATTTATTTTCCAGCTGCCCGGGAGTCTCCCTGGCTTATCTTCTCCTCTGCCATTCGTCCTCCCTCCCCGCCCCCTTCCTTCCTTTGATCTCCCATTTATTAAGCACCTACTCTGTGCATCCCACTGTGTCAGAGGCTGGAGAGAAAAATAGATGGTCCAGGACAAGAGCCTTTGGCTTTAGACACGTGAGACGTGGGTTTAAGGCTCAGCTTGGCTGCTCACCACTGGTGTGACCACAGGCAGGTTACTTGATTTCTGTCCTCAGGTGTGAGATGGGTATGGAACTACCAATCCCACAGGAGTTGGTGTATGCAGAGAACTTAGTGGGGGCTGGCGCAAAGCCCCAGGAAACGGTGGCTAAGACCAGTGCCTGCCTTCTGGGAGCTGATTCTGGTGGGGGAGACAGTTATGGCCAAATGTTGCCCTGCCTCAAGGGCCATGAGAATGTGCCCCTGCCTCCCCCCTTCCCATTCCTCCGTTCTTACTTCTGCATCTCCTTCCCCTGTTTCATTTTAAATATGAAGTAAAAATAGAAAGACAGCAATTTGCTCCTACAGAGCCTCTGATGGGGCAGGGGAAG